CTGCACCTCCAAATGGGACTTTCAATAAGCCTCATTAAAGCAATACATTAATGTCCTTGAGCTCAAGTAAAAGTTGTGAAGATGTCTCACTAAACTTATTGGACCAATCTTAGAATTACCTATCAGTAATTGAAATACTAGAAATGAGACAACAGTTAAACAAACCTTATTAAAATACTTGTTCACATTCCTGGTCACATCGATTGTACCATTCTATAGTTGATGGTGATCTATGTTCCAAATATGCTGGAATTTTTTTAGCAATTTATAGGTACACATCAATTATTAGAAACCAGCTTAAAACCCATCTGAAGTTGACATAGCTTTCACAAGTTATGGTAGTTTGTTTCTGAGCTCTTACAAGGCACATAGCAATTTAGTTCTTCCTTATATAGCAGGGGTGTCAAACTGCCGGCCCGTGGGCTGGATGCGTCACGCGGAAGCCACACCCACCCCAGCTCTGGCAAGGGGAAAACAGTGCGATATGTCGCGACATGTCACGTGACGCGGTGAGTTTGACACCCCTGTTATATATCATTATAATATTCATACAGGTAGTCCTTGATTAATGACCACTTGTTCAGTGGCCGTTTGAAGTTATAATGGTGCTAAATGAGTGGTACTTAAGACTAGTGCTCAAACTTCTGGTCATCTCAGCATCCCCATAATCACATGATTGCAAACTGGACACTTGTCAACCAGTTTAACTTATGGTGGTTGCAGTATCCAGCAGTCATGTGATCCCCATTCACAATCTTCCTTCCTGGCTTCCCCCTCATATATCCTCCTGCCTGCTGCAGCAGGCACTCCAAATCACACAATGCTTACACTGGACCTTCCTGCACCCTCAAACCAGCCCAAGCTTTCCACACTCACACTGTGCTACACCAGCCCATCACCAAGATATATACCCTCGCACATCTGGGAGCAGCCCTAAATCACCCACCAACCTGCTTGCAAGATGCCTGGGACTTCCTGTCAGCTTCCCCAGTCACTTTGCTTGTTGGTAGCTAGCAGGAAGATACACCAAGAGACAATTAAAAAAGCTAAGAAAGAAACAAAAAGACCAGACTACATCTTCTCTAGCAACCAACATGCAGTGATGCAGGAATTAACACCAGACAATCAAGCAAAAACCAATAACCTAATCATGAAACTACCAAAAAAGAAACCACATCATCGCCAACACTAGCAGGACAAGCTACTGAATATAAAAAGGGCACTAACTATATAGTTGATAGCATTGATAATGTTACCTACTTGGGTAATGAAACGTCTGCAAGCAAGCAACCAAACTCAGAGAGCACCAAGGACTCCACAATTATTATAAACTCTATATATACTAAGAAAGCCAGCAATACTGCTGGAGAACATCCAAATGTCCAGGAAGATCCGTCCCTTCAAATCCTCCATCCAATTTGCTTGCTGAACTTTTCTTTTCAAAGCTAAAGGTGGTAGGTTTCCTCATTTCCAGATTTCAAAAAAAAAAAAAAAGGTTAGTTACTGCAATAGAAGCACAGCCACCTCTATATCCATCAAAGCATACCTAACCTTCTGGATAGAGGAGGTGGAGGAGGAAGAAGAGGAGAACAGATTGCCAAAATGAAATGTCTAGTCCTTTTGGCAGTCAGCAAAATAAGCTTTAAATCTCCAGCAGCAAGACAAGAGGGTGTAATCCCAATTGGACTATCACTGACCTCCAAAGGCTCTTCCTCTATGCAACCTACAATGTCTGCAGGAGAAGTCTTTTGTTAATACACAAGAGGTCCTGTTAGACCTCTCAGCGGCTTTTGATACCATCGACCATGGTATCTTGTTGCACTGATTAGGGGGGTTGGGGGGCACCGTTTTACGGTGGTTCTCCTCCTACCTCTCGGACCGGTCCCAATTTGTGTTGGCAGGGGGGCAGAGGTCGACCTCGAGGCGCCTCACTTGTGGGGTACCACAGGGGTCGGTCCTCTCGCCTCTCCTGTTCAACATTTATATGAAGCCACTGGATGAGATCATCCGTGGTTTCGGGGTGGAGTTTCATCAGTACGCAGATGACACCCAGCTGTACATCTCCACCCCGGACCACCCCAACGATGCCGCGGAAGTGATGTCCCGGTGCCTGGAGGCCATGCGAGTCTGGATGGGGAGGAACAGGCTTCGACTCAACCCGTCCAAGACCGAGTGGCTGTGGTTTCCGGCATCACGACATAGCCAGTTGGCTCCATCTCTGGCTATCGGGGGCGAGTCATTAGCCCCCGCGGAGAGGGCCCGCAACCTGGGCGTCCTCCTGGATGCTCGGCTGTCTTTAGACGATCATGTGATGGCCGTGGCCAGGGGGGCTTTTCATCAGGCTCGCCTGATACGCCAGCTGCGCCCCTTTCTGGATCGTGACGCTCTACGCACGGTCACTCAAGCCCTCGTTGTTTCCCGCCTGGACTATTGCAATGCTCTCTACATGGGGCTCCCCTTGAGGTGCACCTAGAGGCTCCAGCTAGTTCAGAATGCGGCCGCACGGGGGATTTTGGGGGCCTCTAGATACTCCCATGTAACACCTCTCCTGCGTGAGCTGCACTGGCTGCCTGTGGCCTTCCGGGTGCGCTTCAAGGTATTAGTAACAACCTTTAAAGCGCTCCATGGCAATGGACCTAGGTATTTGCAAGACCGCCTCCTACCAAATACCTCCCTTCGACCAGTCCGCTCCCACAGAGAGGGCCTCCTAAGGGTGCCGTCGGCCAGTCAATGCCAGCTGGCAACCCCCAGGGGGAGAGCCTTCTCTGTGGCAGCTCCTGCCCTCTGGAATGACCTACCCCCCGACCTACGTACAACTGCGGACCTGCGCCTCTTTCACCGAGCCTTGAAAACCCATCTATTCCATGCGGCCAGCCTGGCGTAGTTTTGATTGTGTTTTGGTAGGGGCTTTTATATGGGGTATTTTAGAGCAGGCTTTTTATTTAATATTTATTGTGATTTTTATTATCGCCTGTTCACCTCCCTGAGTCCCGTAAGGGAGATAGGGCGGTATATAAATAATAATAATAATAATAATAATAATAATAATAATAATAATAATAATAATAATAATAATAATAATAATAATAATAATAATACAGAATGGATAATTCTTGATTCTTGTAGAAACAACTCTATCAACTTCAGTCTGTCTCAGCAATTGGCTGGCAATGGGGCTGTGGCTTCACTGAGAGAACATATCCTTAGTGAATAGTAAGTGGGCTGTTTTTACAATATGGTAAGCTAATTATATGGATGAGTCCATAGAAGGACAAGATAATGTTCATGGAAATAAAAGAAAACAGCTTCTTCTGAACAAAGTGAGGATATAAAAGCTTTACGTTTCCATTTGAATAGGATAATACAAAAAGACCCTGTCTACGTGCATATTCATATTTCCTAAACTGTGCAAATTTGTTTATTTAGTATTCAAAAATATATGGTCTAAAAACAAAAAAGGTTTTGAGTCATATATGTTACACACACACACACACACACAGTGTAATCCTTCATAAAATCTAGCAAAACCGATTAATTCATACACCAAAACACGCAGCCAACTATAAAAATCTTAGTGATACAGTGCTAGAAAAGAATATATATTTAATTTGACACCAGGGTTTTCTCATTATTTTTTGTTATTATTCGCTTTTTTTCTCACGGATGGTCCCAAAGATTTTAAGCAGAATGAACAGAGGTCTAATTTCTATAAGTACACTTTCATAGGTGCTGCAAAAAAAAACCAAACCCCAATCATATTTGCCTCATGTTTCTCTACTAGCCACTTGCAAGTTCCGGTCAAGCCAATGAGCTCTGAACAGAAAAACCTACTGCTGAACAAACTGCATATTGCCCAGCTTTCTCATACTCCCAGGGTGAAACTAAAACCAAATTTTTAGAGGGAATTTTCAAGCAGAAGGTAATACTGTGGTAATTACAAGAAAGAATCCCCCATTTGTAGAAGATGGAATCATTTCTCTAATGCTCAGATAGAGCCTCATCATGTAATTACCAACTGTAGATAAGTGAAACTATGGATAATGAAGCTGCCGGTAACAAGGACTACCTCTTCCAGTTATGTTTAAGAGATCTTGCCTAGGAGGTTTATACAGATTTAACATGCTCATTATGGAAGACATACATTACAAAAATAAATTCTATTTAATAAGGTGCTAATTTTCCTATCAAAATTTACCTTGTGGTTGGAAGAGGTGGGGAGCATCTATAAATGCTAACCTAGAGCTGTATGCACTGAATCTTGCAGAGCTACCCTAAACTTTCTTCTAATGGAAACATGAAGCTCAAGCAAGGGGAAAGTGCATGCACATTCCAGTCATTCACAATTCCTCAGACCTGGTTCTTATTTTACAACAGTTATATTTGGTTACAAGGAAAGCTAAGGCAAGGTACACATTTTGTCTAGAATGCTTTTTCTGAAGTGGAAATATAAAAGGACACATTACCCATTTAGCATTATATGGCAATTTTAACATCACAGAGTTCTTCTAACTTCCCCTTTATCTTGTTAACAGAAATATCCAAAGGGAAGGGAATACAAGTAAATCTCACTTTTTATTATATGATGGTGGCCAGCAGAGGGGGCATGAGAGTATGACATGCTCACCATTTAAACTTCTATATACAAACTTTACTTTAGAAAATAGAAGATGATAGAGGCATTTAGATTCTAGGATTACCTGTTTAAATCAAACATGGGTACTTTCTTTACAAGAAGGCAGGAGAAAAATAAATGAAACCAACACATAAAAAATATGACCCATGCTAAAACGCACCAAGTAGAACCTCTAGGATATATTTTGTTAAACTGGCCTACAAAATATTTTATATACACTTGGGCTTTTCATCTCTTTATTTTTCAGCTTTCTGAAATGAAGAGGGGAGTATTCTTAGAACTAATGCTAAAAAAGGGCATCAAAGCCAAGGGATTATAGGTAGGATGCCAAATGCCCACAAGGGTACACAGTCAAAGTTTTACTTACTTTAGTCACACAGCTTTCAGTCTTCATCGTAGTACCTAAGCACACTGTGTCTTGATTTAAGCAAAGTCTGGTACAGCTGTTATAGGCCTGTGAAGATAGGGAAAAAGTGACAAAAATAAAGATACAACATATTAAACATGTATTTCTTGAAAAGTATGTATTCCTTGAAGGGCCTTACAATAAAATATTGTGAAATATTATTTGCAAATTTGTTTTGAGTTAAAAACTCAGAAAAAAAGCACAAAATACCTCTAAACAGTGTGATTTAGTGATTAAGAAATTTAACTGGAACAGTGTTTAAGGTGCTAAACAAAGTTCATATCAATCCTCAAGTATGAAAGATCACAGATGATATTGGGCCATGGTCACTTAGCACTTAGACTTATATACTGCTCCATAGTGTTTTACAGCACTCTCTGAACGGCTTACAATGTCAGCACAGTAATTGCCTCCAATAATCTGGGTCATTTTACCAACCTCAGAATGGTGGAAGGCTGAGTTAACTTTAGCCAATCAGGATGGAACTCCTGGCTATAGGCATTCTAACCACTGTGCAACCACTGCTCTTATCTTAAAGATATTTGATGCCAAAATATACTTCAGCTTACCCACAGTAGTCCTCAATTACCATTGGTAATTGAAACGTGAGAACTCTTTGGCTAAATAGCATGGTTGTGCAGTGAGATGTCCTGTGATCACTGCAACTTACGGCAGCCATTTTGGCAGTCCCAGGCTGCCACTTTTAGGTGAATCCTGCACAGTCACAATATCGCACAGTCACATGATCGCCGTTTGTCACTTCTTGCTGGTTTCCCCTTGACTTTGTTCATCAGATGTCAGCAGCCAAGTTTGCAAATGGTGAGAACATTACTGCAGGATGCTGCAATGTCATAATTGCGAGCCAGTTGCCAAGCACCAGAATTATGGTCATGAGACTATGGGGAACTGCAGTGGCTGCAATTACGACTGGCCCTAAATCCCCCTTGTTCAGCACTGTCATGACTTCAAATGGTCACTGAACAAATGGTTCCTAAATAAAGACCACCTGTATTCCTTTCATATACTTAACCAGGACGTTGCACTGCATATGATATAGGACTGAGGTCTAAGATTATGGACAATGAGTCTGAATACAGAACACAAAATATGTTCATACAGACTATATGGTCAGGCACAGGAGAAGGAAGGTGTGTTGGACATGTTCACGGAGTTCAATTGTTTGTAAAAATAATAAGGGGGGGATATAAATAAATAAATAATATAAACTGAGTAGTTTATTGATGAAGCAAAAGGTATCCAATATTAAAATAAAGTTCTTAGTCTGCTCTCATCTTTAAAACACCAAAAAAAATTAGATACTAAAAAGGCAACATCTTTTTGGAATGATATTGTATTTGTTTGAATGACTGTTTGGACAATTGTTTCATCAGAATGGATGATAGTGATAAATTTTATAGCCCCAAATTCTCTAGATTTTCCACAGATTTTCTTTAAGTAGGGGTTTAAAGAAAGACCCAGGCCTAATTTTTGTTCGTTTGTTTGTTTAAGGCACAAATACTTTCCACTAACCTAAACACATGTATCTTCAATGTTCACTGAAAATAAAGATGGAAGAAGACATTCTCTATTTTCATTTAGATGCTTTTTTACAACTCCTCCCTTTATTATTTACTTACTTTGAAGACATCTTTTCATTTAAAAATGTTAAGCCAATTAGTTACAGAAAAATACAATCAATTATCATGTATGTAAGCAAAAACAAAATAGAGCATATCACCTCTCATTCAAAGCAGCAAAACCCAGCAGCTACAAAGAGAATCTGTCTGCTGAACATCCAAATTAAGAAACTAAGTGCACAGTCCATTTAAAGTCATCCCACAATGGATTTAATTTCTTCCTGTTTCCTTTTAAACAACACAAAGCATGGCTACATAAACTATTTCTGCTTTTCCTTATTGATGATAATGGCAAACCAATCCAAAGAACCTTGCTAAGAAAATTGCAGGGACTTGGTCCAGACAATTGCCAGGAGTCAACACTGACTTAAAGGGCAAGCATGCAGACACACATTTTAAAATAATATTTTAATTTGGGGGTTTCATTTGATTTTCCATTTTTCCTTTAGCCCAGGGGTGTCAAACTGCCGGCCCGCAGGCCGGACGCGTCACACAGAAGCCGCACCCACTCCATTGCTGGCAATGGCAAAACAGTTCCGATATATCGCACAATGTCACGTGACATCACAAGTTTGAGATGTCTGCTTTAGCATGTATTCTCAGCAGCACAAACTCTGTTACCTGTGAACTGGATCTCTATTCCTCCTGGCTTCTTCGGGCATCTCAGGGTAGTGGTGGTCAGTTTGGGAGAGTGTGAATAACAATTTAAGGGAAACAATAATGCACCCTCTCTTAAAGAAGCCAGGTTTTGGTGTCACAGTGTTAGACAACTTCCTCCCTGTCTCTAATATTTCTTTTCAGAGAATTTTTAGAGAAGATGACACAACTCCAATTTCAAGGGATCCTAGATTATCAAGATCCTTTTCCAGCATGGATTCAGATCTGCATATACTGTAGGAAACTAAACTGGTGACTAATAATTTACTATATAACGCCTTCTGATTCTTCAAGCTCGGAAACTGAATTATTCAAGTATCTCTTCCCCAAACATCAAAAGAAAACATTTCTGGGCCATTAGAAACAGTGTTTGAAATACTTGCCTGATTCTGTGCCAGAGGTAGATAGCCTTGGAGCACTTCAATACAGTTTTATACTGCATATAAAGAATGCAAGCATAAACCAGTTTGTTGAAAGCTATCCTTTTGGTGAAAGCTTGCTATAATTCTGAACAAGTTTTCAATTTCACACTGCTGCTAGGGTAAAACATTTTAAAGAGTTTAATTTTTACAGTGGCTTCAATGACACAGGATTATCTAACAAAGTAATGGCTAATCAATAGGAGTTTAGTTGTCAGGTGAAACATATAACACACTAAAAGGGATTGATTGTTAGACTCCTCCTTATTTACTAGGAGGTATATATTTAAAATGACACAAACTTGTTACCAAGCTACATTCCTTTAACCTTGCAAAGGCGGTTTGAGATGAGTGTTAAGCAGCCTATAGCAAAACACACACTAATGGAAAAGAATATCAAGAAAATACACAGCTGTTTCAAATCATGTCAAGAGCAGGAATACAATGAGGGTGACTAGGAGATACGAAGCTTAATCTGTTTCCAAACTGCCATCTCTGCTGGTACACACCAAAGAATAAACTCTGCACTAATTGTCAAAATTACTCATCTTGGAAGATTCACAATTTATGGGTGGTGGGTTTAAATAACTGCATCAGTTCAGAGTATTTTGATATGGACTTAAATGATAAACAAAAAAGATGGACTAAAATATAGAACATTTTATGAAGTATTTGTTTTACTATAATTTGAGTTTCTACAGATATTTGTAAATATGGCCAACATTTTCTGTGCGGCCATATTTCTTTTCTTTTTTTTTACACTAAAAGAATCTCTTTTCAATAAAAAATTACATTCAATTTTCATTTTACCGCTTTTTGATTGACAAGCATTTTCAAATTCTCATAAGTTACTTATAAATTGTGTACATTTCTAGATACTAATATCAATGTGACAAACAGGGATGTTCAGAGAATCAGAAGTGATTACAAAGTTTTTCTTAATGTATATGTAATGATATCACTATGTATCAGTCTGTCACTTTTATTGTATATAATCATAGATTATTATAAGTTAAGTGATGTGTAAAACTGTCCTTATGTTAGATTCTTCTAATACCAATGTGAAGTAAGGCTAATTGTCAAAGAAAATAGCCCTTGAATCTCTGAGAGATTTCAAGCTTCCCATTTAAACCAATCAAAACCTTTTGTAATTGTATGGTCTAAAGAAAATTTAATTTCCCAAGCAATTCATCCAAAAGATCACCATCTGTGAATAAAACCTCATTTTTGTCAGGTGTGGCAACCTAAGGTTCAGTAAGAATGTTTTCCCTCCCAATTAATAAGTACATGATTTATCAGAGAAATATAATTAAAAACTCTAAAATACAACAGCTCACCTTGTCTTGCAATTTCTAGAAACATGATTGTTAAAGAAATATTTGGGAACAGAACTGCCAGATGGTTAAAAAAATATATTAGAATCTGAAGAATTCAACTGATTTGAGAAGTTATATGTAAATCACTTCTACAGATTCATGAATACTATTTTCATTTCAATATACAGTAAGGCCTTAGGAAGCCTCCATTAATTGTTTTAATACTTTTTGCAAAGAGACTTACAAAAGTATTAAATAGTAAATTTAAAAACATAAACCATGCAATTATAAATGAAAATTAAGTTGAGCTGCATAGTATTATCCATATTTCAACATGCAATTAATATTTCCAAATCTATGATTAAAACTATTTCCAAAGTCCAGAATATTTATAATTCAAATTTCTAAGACATCATATCTCAAAAGGAATGCTGGCTCTAAATAAATTAATCAAGAGAGAGGGAACAGAAATTCATAATGTAAAATCCCAATACAGCTCAATCCAGATAGGCACATGCCTCAAACCGTCTCAGGACCTGAGGGAAAAACCAGGTATTCAAGTCTTGTTTAAAGGATAGCAGTGCTGGGCCTGTTCAAACCTCCAAGGGTATGCTGTTCCAGATGGCAGCACTGCAATAGGGAAGCCCTACTTCCTAATCCCCATCAGATGGCACTGATTCAGAGATGATGCACAAAGTGAGATCATAGAGGCCAAAAGAATGGGTGAGGGGGGGGAGAATGGTCCCTCAGATAAGTAGGCTGTATCCCATGAAGGACAATTGTAGATGAAAACACACTGAATGGAGTAATTTGCAGAGGGGTTATATGTGCACATCAAGTTATGCCCATCATTCATCTGTTTAAGAATGCATATGGCTGCTTTCATTGTGTTTGGAGTATAATTGTTTATACTGCTGCATTTTGGATAAGCTGTAGTTTCTGAGTGGTCTTCAAGGGACCCTGCACAGCTTATTTCAATAATCCACTCACAAGGTAAATAAGGCATGGATGATTGTGAC